ATACTGAAGAGAATATCGTTAATTTCACTCACAGTACAAGATTTGTTCCCATGGGAAGTTAACAACTAGCTTGGATGAATTTGTAACAGCTCTTGTCGCATAGTTGGAAAACCAGGAAAATTTTTAGAGGTAAGTGAATTTGTCTACTTTTTTGCACGAATATTAGTCTATATTCTTTAGTGCATTATTTAATTAAATAAAAATTATAAGAATTCTGAGCCCTCAATATGACAACAACAAGAGCAAAGGAAAACAAAAGTAATTTGACCTCATAAAACACCCAGCTATTCCATATTTATAATTCAGTGAAAATTCCAAGCGATAATCTTTACCTGAACAACCTGTGGGACTGATTCCAAAAGATCAATGAGCTTGGTAAAACCATAGTCTGCCACACGACACTGACGGCCAAAATGATGGTGGTAGGCAGGAATAAACTTGCTAAATGCCATCAGACACCGAGGCTGATTCTTTAGAAGATCGACCATCTCTCGGCTGAAAAGTGCCAATTGGCCAACTAAGGCAGGACTAATGCTTCGCTGACCTGTGTTATAATATACTGTATTTTAACAAATTTACATTACAAACATACATAAATAGTGTAAATTACTAAAACTGATGTAGTACATTATGATTTATAATAATGACCAAGTTTGTGAAACATCCTATATAAGACAAGACATTTATTCAAGTTTACCATAACAAAATTTTTTTTTTATTATAATCAGTAATAAGATACTAATTAGAAGCAAATTCTTTGAATTTGTATTTTTATGACACTAATTAGTTTCTGAATTTTCATAATCAAACTTTCCTTGAAGTACTACTTTCATAATAAATTTAAAAACTATGTTTGCAAAAACTTATAAAAAGTCTGCAAAATTTTACTAGATAATGCGACACTTAAGTGTAAAGTAGTGGTGTCAAAATATATTGCAAGCTTTTAGTTATCAAAGTAGTTATTAAGCTAACACTATAAAGTATGCATACTTTGCTCATCCAGGGATCTGTCACCAAGCCATTGAACCTTCTTCACACCAAGGCCTGACTTTGTAATCTGAACACCTGGTATGCACGCTATTAGGTGCTCTAGGGGTATTCCAAACTCCGAGAGATCAGACACTAACCCACAGCTGCTACGGACACTAACCTGTCCCTCGGGCAGACTAGACCTGCAACTTTCTTTCAAGCCTTCCTGTACAGGTAAGAGTCCAAATTCAGCTTCGTAGCATGCACAGAAGCTGGAAATGAAAACAAATAAACTGTAAAAATCAAAACAGTATAACAAATATATTAAATCTGCTTTACAATAATTTAAATTGATAACTCTGTAAAACTCAAAGGTTATGATACAGATCAGAAGTGGCATCAGCATAATGGAGCTACACAATATTAATGTCAGAGTCAACAATTTCTCTTAATTTATCTCTTACGGATCATTCTATGGTCACAGATCAAAGGCCATGTCTTCAAATTTGTACACTCACATTCAAAATTTTATTGAACTACTATTTAATGAATGAATGTGAATAGGTTTGTTATCAAATTGTAGATTATAATTCCAATTTTAGTAATATAGATTAGTTAATTTCTTAATTTAAAAGTAAATATTAAAACAATTCCTAAATATCAATTTTTGTCATGTGGGTATGTTGAATGCAGCATTGGTTCAAATTAGATTGTTTGTGATGTCCAAATAAAAGTTTATAGTTTCTTAAAAATTAGTAACTCAAATTACTAATATAAAAAAGCTAGAATATTAAATAATAACCTCCTATCTTTTCTATTTGCTGACATATCGCTACATTTACTAAATCAAACACAGTGGGCCCCACCCACCTCTGTCCATTTTTGGAAAGACTTGCTTACATACACCTACTTCTGTCTATAATGTGTGAATAACCAACTGAAAGCTCAGAATGTCCCCCTAGTGTCTTTCTCAGCTTTTTCGAAGTATTTAGGTGGCAAACTTGTTCTTTTGATGCTAAATTTCAAGTGGTAAGGTAAGACTTTAGTGATCTCGAAATTCCATATTTTTTAG